ACCTTGAAAACATGCTAATTGAAAGAAGCCAGACAAAAAAGGCTACATATTATGATTTTATTCATATGAAATGTCCCGAATAGATAAATCCATAGATACCAAAAGTAGATTGGAGCTTTCTAGGGGTTGGCTGGGAGGAGTTAGAATGGGGAGTAACTATTCATGGGTTCATGGAGTTCTTTTTTTTTTTTTTTTTTTTTGAGATCAGGTCTCACTCTGTCACCCAGGCTGGAGTGCAGTGGCACAATCAGGTCATTGCAGCCTTGACCTACTGGACTCAGGTGATCCTCCCACCTCAACCTCCCAGGTAGCTATAGGTGCATGACACCATGCCCGGCTAATTTTTGTATTTTTTTGTAGAGACGAGGTTTTGCCATGTTGCTTAGGCTGGTCTCAAACTCCTCAGCTCAAGCGATCTGCCCACTTGGTCCAACTAAAGTGCTGGGATTACAGGGTTGAGTCACTGCACCTGGGCTAGAGTTTCTTTTTGCAGTGGTGGGAATTTTCTAAAATTGATTGTGGTGATGGTTGTACAATTCTGTGAATACACTAGAAACCAAGTGAGTTGCACACTTTAAACAGGTGGATTGTATAGTATGCGAATTATATCTCAATAAAGCTGTTATAGATATTAAATATGTATAAATAAAAAAATAGGAGTGAAATAATATGCTATCATTTTTAAAAATGATAACGTGTTATCTACTCTGGCAGGATATTCAAGAAACTTGGTAACGGCGATAGATGAGGTAGAAGAGGAGGCTAGGAAGATTTAATTTTGGTATCATGTTCAAGTACTCCTATTCAAGTAAGTTAAGTAACTTGTTTTTTTTTAATTTGGAAAGCAGGTCGGGCGTGGTGGCTCACGCCTGTAATACCAGCACTTCGGGAGGCCGAGGCGGGTCGATCACCTGAGGTCAGGAGTTTGAGACCAGCCTGACCAATACGAGGAAACCCGGACTCCACTAAAAATACAAAAATTAGCCGGGCATGGTGGCATGCGCGTAATCCCAGCTACTTGGGAGGCTGAGACAGGAGAATAGCTTGAACCCGGGAGGCAGAGGTTGCAGTGAGCCAAGATCGTGCCATTGCACTCCACCCCGGGTGACAGAGCAAAACTTCGTCTAAAAAAAAAAAAATGGAAAGCAATTCTGGCCTCGTTCCTGCGACCACAGCCCCAACCCGGGTCGGGGGTCCCAGTGACCTTACCCCTCCCTGCAGACCCCAGGACGGGCGGTCTTCAGAGCTGGGCGCCCTGGTTCTGCAGGGGCCCCAGTCTGGGGTTTCGCTCACCTGTGCCTCCGAAAACCACCACCAGTTGCTTGTCCGCCATGAGGACGAGAAGGGAACGAATGCGGTCCAGAGAGATCTGGGGGTAGTGGGAGGCGTGGAATTGGGGGTGGGGCTCGGGTTTCCGCCAGGAGCGACAAGGGACCCCCCATTGTCTGCGCACCGAGTATGTGTCGAGGGGGGCAGCTGGGCCCGGAGCGGCAAGACGCCCGTCCCGAGATATCGGGGTCCTGAGACCCTCCTCGTCCCCCTTGGGCCCGATCCCCTCCTTCGTCCCGCCTCCCCCGCCCGAGTCCGGTCACCCGCCCCTGACCCGGGTTCCACCGGCTGGAGTGACCTCCTTGCCGCG